GTAAATTAATCATTTTGGTAACTTTTATCAATATTGAACATACATTTTATAATCGAGAAAGCGCAATTTTTTGCTTATTTATGTAAAAGATCAAAGGAAAAGTAATATAACTAAGTTATTTTTTAAGAGATTAAAAAAGGGTAACAAATCAAATGAAAACTACCTACTTATTATGTAGTTTAGTCATCTATATACTCATATATAAAAGAACAAGTCCTGATAGGATAATTAACGCAGAGCCAAAACTACTGATGTTAGAATCTTAAAAATTTGAGGGTGTGTTCCTTTTGAAAAGTTTAGATGTACTAAGAAAAGATTTTACGAAATTAAACCCTAAAGGAGTTAAAAAGAGTAAAAAATTTATATGAAAATTTTTACTGCGTGGGCACATTAGATCGAAACTTAGGTCATAAAATGTGAAAAAATAATAATTAATGATCTGTAATTTTATGAAATCATCCTTTATTATAAAACTGAAAATTAAATTAACTTTTTTATTTCATCGTACAAAATTATTTATTATAACTGAAGTCAATAAGTGGTAGGTTATGGTGCAGAAAAATCAACTTTTCCGCATTTTTGGGAAGAAGTCTGTTCCTCTTTTCTTCGTATACGTTTCCTGCTTCACTAAAAAGCCTCTCTGAATACACGCTGCTTGCAGGAGCTGATAAGTACTTAGCAGCCAGTTTGACTAAACATTGGGAAAATTTAGATTTATGTGTAGCCCACCAGGCAAATGGATCGTCGTTTCTCTTTAAAGTTTTCATGCTTAAGTACTTATCAAGGTCACCTGCTATGATGTTCTTTGAAGTAGAAGCTATTCCGACTCCGTTGTCATCATCGGTAAAGTTCTCAGCAACTACTTCATCATAGCACTCCCAGAAAGATGTGTGAATGCTTTGTCCAGGCTCATCGGTTTTTTTACGTTTAGACTGCACGGGAGAAGAACGCATGCTTTCATCGCTGCTGGTATCATAGTCTGAAACTAAATCTTCAACCAGAATGTACTACCGGGCTCTTTCTTTTTGCAGTTGGTTCGTGAAGAAATTTGTCTTAAACCTTGGATCTAACAAAGTTGATATCAGATAGTTTTTATTATTGTCAATCTGTGAAAAACGTTGTTTTATCCCTTGTTGCATGGCGATCGCCATAAACTTTAATTTAGGTGCTAGGTCAGAAGACACAGCCTTGTTGCAGTAGCGGTTAAGAGTAACAACATGGGGAATAATTTCAGATAAGCATGAGTAGTTTGAGCTAGTAATTTTTGTTATCTTTTCAAATGGCTTTAATAATTTCAGTAATTGGTCTACAATCTCCCACTGCTCTGCAGTCAGATTAGATATGTTTACTGTATCAGTTAGATAGAGGGAAATAGCTCGTTTTTGTTCAAGAAGCCTTTCTAACATATAAAAGGTAGAATTCCACCGTGTTGTTATATCTTGCACTAAATTATGCTTGGCTATTCCCAGCTCTTCCTGAATTTTTTTCAGTTTTTCTTGTGCAGTACTCGAATGATTAAAGTGGGTTACTATTTTTCGTCCCACAGCAATAGTTTCTCCGATCTCAGGTTGAATTTTGAGAGAGTCTTTGATTACTAACTGTAGTGTATGTATGAAGCAACATGCAGAATTCATTTGAGCCTCACTGACAGCCTTAACAATATTGCGCCCATTGTCATGAACAATGACGTGAATTTTTGATAAAGGGCATTCCCACCGGCTCAGTATTTCTTGCAGAGCATTTGCTATATTTTGCGCAGTATGTTGCCCTTCAAAGTGTTTTACATTAAGTGCAGCATGTGTCAAGTTAAAATCTCTGTCAAGCCAGTGTGCAGTGAAACTGAGGAAACTGACAGAGTTTTGCAAGCACGTCCACAAGTCGGTAGTGATTGATATATAATCTGTGTCTTCAAGCTTTTTTTTAATCTTTGTTACTACTTTTCCATAAAGTTCAGGAATTATTTTCTCTGAAAAGTACGGTCTACTCGGTATGGCATATCTCGGCAGGATCTCATTTAACAATCTTTTCAAACCAGATCTTTCAACTATGTTCAGTGGTTCATTATCAATCGCTATCATTTCGGCAATCAGATAATGGTATTTCACAGCCCGAGGGTCATTTATATCCCACTTTTTTGTTTTTTCTTGGCAGTCGTAAAGGGTTAATTGCTTTGTGGACTTACTTGAACAGGGAACGACATCATCCGCTGTGTTTTCTTTCGTTGAGATAGATTTATGTATTTTCTGATACTCCTCCTTGTGTTTGTTCTTTAAATGATTTATCAAACCCGACGTCGAAGCTTTTTTCCCCTTACCTCCACGAGAAATTTTTGTATCACATACTTTGCACTGCACATTACGCGAATCTTCGTCATTTTCTTCAAAGTAAATCCAAACTGAAGACCTTTTTTTACTCATCGTACTGTTCCAAAGTCACAAACCTCTTAAAAAGATCGATTGCAAATAAAATAACTTAACTTGCATCTAAATATCAACAACTGCCGAATGATATCGGGCTATTTACGGCTATTACATAAATTATAAACCAATTTGGCACTAGAGATAGACGTTAGGCGCCATCTCATATTAACTTTAATAATTATAATTATAATTTAATTAATTAATTTTAAATAATTTAGACCTACTGGAAGAAAAAATCGGCCCGGAGCGGGACACGAATCCGCAACTCCTGCTTACCGTGCAGATGCGTTTCCAGTAGGTCTAAATTATTTAAATTAATTAATTAAATTAATTACAACATTTAGCTTTCCGAAGTCTATGAGAACAATTATTTGGCATTGATGACCGCGAATTTCTCGTCAATAAGCTGCCTCGACTTGTTCGATTATGTTATCAACTCAATTTCATATTTATTTTCACATTTTCACTTCGCGGTCCTTCTCTCTTCTTTTTCCGTTATTAGAGAGGTTGCAGCCGACGTTTTCAATGCGAAAACGTGTACGTCGGACATTCAGCGCTGCCTTCCTGTAAGCCTAGAAGTTTGACAATGGCGTTTGGAACGTCAAGCATGATTCCACTGACGTTCCAAATGCCATTGTCAAACTTCTAGGCTTACAGGAAGGCAGCGCTGAACGTCCGACGTACATGTTTTCGCGTTGAAAACTTCGGCCGCAACCTCTCTATTTACAGGTGTAGGTCATTTCATTGTTATCCACATTTGATATCATCACTTATAACATACTGTCATGACGCTCATGACACAACTGTCAAGAATTAATGCGATTAAAGAAGTGTAGTGACAGCGGGCCAACAGAGAGCAGGGTGCGCGATCCTTGCCATATAATGCGATTTGCACGCTAATTTTCGTATTTGTGTTAATCAAGCCGAATAGTTTGGCCGAATATTCGGCTATTCGGCCACACTCCTGGCCGAATATTCGGCTATTCGGCCACACTCCTGGCCGAATATTCGGTATTCGGCCTGAGGCCGAATATACTATTCGTTACATCACTACTAATAATGTATATAAATCCTTTAAAGTGATGGATATAAATCATATCAAATAATTGAATCATAAATTACAGTGCTTAAATTAGACATGGAATTTGTGGAAAACATTCTTCGATGGAATTAGCCATTTAGTTTAAAATTTAAACTGGGACAAGAGAACTAATTTATAAAATAATTATCTAAAGTTAACATTAATATAATTTTTCAGCATTTAAATTAGAATTGGTAGTTTAATTTTTTGTTTTCAATGTAGAAGCAATACAGTATTTATATAAATTTTTATTTTTAAACTAGCTTACCTGTTGCGCATTGCTGCGATCTCAGAAGAAACGAAATTCAAGCAAACTTGTTATGATAAAATTCAATTTACATTTTATCATTTTTATTGAAACTTATTATTATTATTCATTTTCATCAGGAAAACATTTCAAAGTGTCGTTTCAATTCTATTTATTTATTGGAGTGCTTGTGGATACACGATATTTTTTGTTTTTCCGTCTGGTGCGTACACGAATAAATCGGAAGGTTTTCCGACGCGTGAGCCGGCCACATACAGTTGTCCATGCGAGAAGCACGGATTCTCCAAATTTAGCCCACACACTTGCAGCGATTGTCAGAAGTGCGATATTCCCCATTTTTATATATTTTTTTTAATCCTTTATAATTTTAATTATTTAATTGCTCCTTCCTCTCTTCCTTGGCATGTTGTGAAATTTCTGATAGTTGGATAATAAACCGTTTTATTGTAATTTGTCTTTTTAAATTATTTTGAGTCGATATTAAAATTTGGAAAAGGGGGATACCTAGATCGGTAAAATACGCGAATTTCTTCCTACAACTTCGGTTGTTGTTCGGGGTACAGTTAAGGTTTTAACGAAGTTCGAGCGAATACATAATTAGCAAAAAAAAGTTGAAATAAAGTGATTAAACAAAAATTATTACAAATATCGTAAATAACAGTTCACAAATGCATATATAGTGATATTTTTTGAAAGGGGGAAATGGTCTTCACAATTTGAAATTGATCTCGCACACAGTGACATGCTCGTATACATGTGCACCATCTATTGTAGGATAAATGTACTATGCCAGAAACCTTCGCGGGAGTATATTAAACAACTTCCCAAAGTTTCATGGCAATCGGATAAATGATGTGGTAATGCATGAAGGACAGACAGACATTCATTCATTTTTATATATATAGATGATCAAACCAATTTTCTATGAGTTTTACTGAGTACTGCAAAATGAGTTTTATATTTGGGCTATAATTAACCTAAGGTTGCTGTCTGTGCTTTATTTAGTAATTTTTTTACTTTTTAAGAAAAAAAATTGTCTGTTTTTTGTGCTATATGATATTATAATTATTAAATGTGTTATTCTTCAATATTATTATTAGTTTATTTCATTAAAATAGATATCTACATTTTTTTTAATGTCATAAGTATAAAAATTATGATCTTTGAAATATAATTGATTTAATTTGTTACTTCAATAATCATTGATATCACTCTTGTTAAATTTTTTTAGTCAGATAGTGCTCTTCCGTCCCCAGCACCTTCAAAGTAAATTTGAAGAGAAAGAATTAAAATATGAAGGTAGTGCTGATAAATCAAAAATAGAAGATTTTATTAAAGACAATTAGTAAGTTATTTTCATTCACTATTCATTACATATTTTTAAAATTAATTTTTTGAGTGTAATTTTTGAATAAATTATTTCCTGAATGAAAAATTTGGACTCTAGATACTTAGTGTTAGTCTTTGTTTTTATTAACAATTCTTGTAAACTGCAAATTTGTTTTTCTAAAATGAAATATTGCTTTACAGTAATATAGCTGCAATACTTAACATTAGACTGTATTTTATCTTAACTGTTTTTAAATTATCATTATTATTGTATGATTAGATAGATTTAAAAATTAAATAAACTAAAATAGAACTATCAGATATTGTTTCTATAATAATTTTAGTATTTTTCAAATATTAAAATTAATTTGAATTACATCTATCTTCTCTTGTAATTCAATAAAATACTTATTTATTAATGTTTTTAAGAGACTAGAAATGGTAACTTGATTGAAACTGCATTATTTTGAAAAGGTATATCAAATTTCATAACATTATATTTTTATTTTTTAGTCATGGTTTAGTTGGTCATCGAACTAATGATAATTTCCAAGATTTCAAGAATCCTCTTGTAGTAGCTTACTATGATGTTGATTATGTGAAAAATACTAAGGGTTAGTGTTCTTACTTATAATTAAATTTTATTAATCTAGAAATTGCTTTATGAGAATATAAATATTTCACTAGGTACAAATTATTGGCGTAATCGTATTATGAAAGTTGCTCAGAATTACAAAGACAAGCTAAATTTTGCTGTATCCAATGTAAATCAATTTTCTGCTGAAGTTGAAGAATTTGGATTGTCTGTCAAAGGTGATAAACCTGTAATTGCAGTACGAAATGAAAAACAACAAAAATTCAGAATGACAGATGAATTCAGGTAAAATTATATATGAAACTTAAAAATTTAATGTTAAACATTAAAACAAATATATTTATTGCTATTTTTTTAATAGCATGGATACATTTGAAAAATTCCTTAAAGACTTCTTGGATGGAAAATTGGAAGCACATGTTAAATCTGAACCAGTTCCAGAAAGTAATGATGGACCAGTTAAGGTATAGCAAATGAAATTATGAGGTGTCAAATATATTTTTCTTGAAGTAAAATGAGTAATTATTGCAGGTTGCTGTTGCATCAAACTTTGATAGTCTTGTAATGAATAATGATAAAGATATCTTGCTAGAATTTTATGCTCCTTGGTGTGGACATTGTAAAAAACTTGCTCCAACTTATGAAGAGTTAGGAACAGAGGTAATCTGAAATCTCCTAAAATAAAATTTTTAGTTAAATGATGATTATTTCATTTAAATATTTTTACAGATGAAAAATGAAGATGTTGAAATAATTAAGATGGATGCAACAGCAAATGATGTTCCACCACCTTACGAAGTTCATGGGTATGTATTAAGGATTATTTAATGACTGGGTTGCTTGAAGTGCAAAGCTGATATTTAAAGCTGATTTGATAATTTTATTGGTTCATTTTCTGTAAAAATTTAGGATATAAATATTTATAACATCTGAACATATAGTATAGCATTTTATAGTATTTAAATTTTACAAATGACCGTGTAACTTCTAAATATTTTGTGTAAAACAATTAAGTATAAAACTGATTTTTGTCAATTACTTTGTTCAAAATTTTGAACTTTAACAGTCACAATAACATTAATTTGTATAAAATCATGATTTTGTTTTACATACCACAGCATTTTAGCATTGTCAATATAAATTAGTAAATAACAGTAAAATTAAAATACTTATGATTTTCAATCATAAGTATTTTAATTTTAATGTCAAATTTAAATGCCAAAAGCTAATAAGTTAAAAGCATTGTAAATGCATTTTTGACTGCATACCTTCATTATGGTATGAATTTTAATAAAACAATTTATTTTTTGTTCTTAATAGATAAAAATGAATATTTTTTAATTGGGGGTGGGAGAAACTAGTTTAATCAAATTTATAAATATCAATTTTTAAATATAATTTTCCCTCTTTCTTTCATACCAGTAAGTTAAAAATGAGTTTTCTAATTTCTAAAAGTTTTTATAAAATGTTAAGACATGTTTAATCTGCAATGTGTTAAAAAAAAAAGAAAAAACTAAGAATTTTTACAGTTGTAAAGCTTAGTTTATTGAAACTTGTTATAAAATAATTAAAATTGAAGGAAGTCATTTTAAGTACGAATAGAACTGTTGTATTAACAAAATGTAACCTAGAAATTTCAGAATAGATATGATTTTTTTATACAAGTATTTTAAAATGTCTAAATATCTTCATATAAAATGTTTATGTAACAGTCTTGTAGATTTTTTTTTTTTATTTTATTAACATAATAAATTTTTAGAGCATTTTCATTCATAGAATATTTATTGTATTCTGTTCATTATAAAGAATAAAATGCAATATATTGAGTATATATTGAATAATTTCAGATTCCCAACTCTGTACTGGGTTCCAAAGAATAGCAAAAATTCCCCAAGGAAATATGATGTAAGATAATTACATTTTTATTTTTATTATTGTAAACTTGAATATTAATGTAAGTATATTTTCAGGGTGGTCGTGAATTGGATGACTTTATAAAATATATATCTAAACATGCTACAAATGAACTAAAAGGATGGGACAGGAAGGGTAATAAGAAATCAGGAAAGACTGAGCTCTAAGAGCTGTAGCTGTTTAAATTTCACACAGCTGTTAGTGATAAATTCATTTGTGATGTCCCAATTTCATTTTTCTTTCTTCCTTTTGGGATTTCATCCACTGACTGTATCATTCCTGCAGTTTATTTTTTCATTAATTGCAATTGGGGGGTTGGATTAAATGTAAAATTGTTTAGTGAAAGTTTGTGAATTTTGAGGGGTAAATGTTAAATAAATGTCAAATTTGTTTATACATAATGTGATGTAAAGTTACTTTTATAACTAACATGCTAAACGTGACTAGCAAGCCAAGACAGACTATTTTCATCATCACAAATTTGTATACAGAAATATTTAGTAATGGACTAATTATCATTCGATATATCTGTTTAACCTTTTAAATTGTCCATTCTCTACTTCCACATTAAATGTTTTTACTTTTATTAATACCTAATTTTTAATCTTCATTTGAAATTATAAATGACTTATCTTCTCATTTGAATCAAAAATTGGTATAATTATTTGACATTTTCTGATAAACCATGAATTAAATGAATAAAAAACTTTTACTGAGTTGTAGTCAGTGCAGAATAGTTTGATATCTGTTAACATCATAAAAAATTTTTAATTAAAATTAATTGTATATCTGAAAATCTAGCATATGATTAAATTAAATTCTTATTTCCTTACAAATTATTTCTCTATATTTCATCAAATTTTTCATGGAGTTAATTCCATCACTATTTTAATTAATTAATTAACCCCTTAAGGACATTGACATTTTTGATATTATATAATTATTAATTTAATTAAACGTAAAAAATACTTAAAACTGAAAAAAACGAAAGAAATGCGTTTATTTTGAAGAAAAAGCTTCAAATTTTATTTTCCTTTGTCTCATCTTTCTGTGAAATATAACACCGATGAGTCATTGTTTACACAGCTGGATGACCTTGCGAACAGCTGGAGTCGGATTTCCCGGGACATTCTCAGAAGTCTCGGGAGGCGATGGGTTTATAGTAGGGTGACTACTAGTTGGCCGTATATTTTTAAAAAAGTAGCAATAAAAATTTAAAAAATTTTTAATTTTTATTGCGATTACCGACTCCCCGGCTTAATTAAACTTATATATAATAAAATCTATTAATTAAAAAAATTAAAAAAACTATCGGAGGTCGTTTTTGACATTAGAAACTAGCTTTAAATAACTTTACCAACGGTTTATACGTGAAAAGGTGACAGACAGATAGAATTACCTTCAAATTTATAATATTAGTATAGATTAATATGAATTTCTGCTATAAGGGGTACGCGAGTTTGAGCTCTTTCTTGAAGTGGTACGCAGGAAAAACTAATTGGGAACCACTGATTTAGCAAAAAAAAAAAAATTACAATGTACTTCTTATTTGATTGAAACATGTAATAATCCAGTTTGAAAGAATTTTAGTCAGTTTTAAATCGTGTGTTAATTAATAATTTAAGATGATTTAATATATCATTCCAAGATAGACCTGGAAATATGCAAGATCAGATTTTTGTTCAGTTAAAAATACAACAACCTCGTCTTTTAATAACAAGTTTTTCTATTCGAAGAATTTACGAAGATTCGAAAATAAACAGTTGTTAAGAGCATGACTTTTAATAAAGTTTATAATTTTGACAGCATCCTGAAGCACGTTCAATTCCGTTGGTAACTTTTTGCTACAAGGGCCTTTTCGCTGTATCACGCAGTGAGTAAAAGTTACATGATCAGCAGCACCACTTTTACAAATGATTTAAAACAAAGATTGCTTTCGCACCATCTGCACAGTCCAATGCAATTTTTCCATTCTAAACCTCCAGTTTAAAAACTTCAACTTTACTATGTCTTCTCTCCTTGTATGTTTATCCAAAGGACAACAAAACAATTCCTCATTGGTGTTTTGGTCATAAATGTATCTAACGTAGAGGGGTTACAAGGTCGCATGTCACGTGATAAAACGCACGTTTGCTCTGCCCCTTCGCCATGTTTGTGGTCTAGCTTCCACTTGCTTTGCTTGCACGTGGTTTGTTGACAGGTTGGCAGAGCTTTTTTTTTAATTTAAACTTAAAAGAACTGCGGTATCTTTATATCATGGACAAAGTTAAAAAACATACTTTTCTGGCGGATTATTCTCGCAGTCTAACAAGACAACATGCTCCTTTATATGAAGAGAATTTCATTATGTCAAGGTGTCGATCCGTATCCAGCATCTTCGTTGTAGATAAGACTTGTAGCCTAAAATAGAATTTGGGGACATCAAACTACTGTATTTGGTTTTGACAAATTACAACACTCTTTTGCGAAAGATTTTTAAGTTTCCATTTGTAAAAGAGTGTAGTAATTTGTCGTCAAAATCAAATAGTTTGAAGTCACCAAATTTTACGAGGCTCATAACTATCTTAAAAGTGGCTGTGTTTCTCCTGATTACGTGCTCTTTCATAACGCTCCTGATATGCAGTTGGGTTGTGGTACGCTCATACCCCATGTATAATGTTGGCACTAAGGTTTCTCATTTTCCGGTCCTGGAATTTCGAGAAAAAAGTGATCTGTTTCCGGGATATAGTTAATTATTTTTTAAGATATAAAATAAGTCTTGAAATCGAATGATATAATTATTTTTCATTTTTCATTTTAAAAATATATTACAAAATATTTATAAAATTAAATTAAGGAATGTTTTGTCATATAAAATTCAAAATCATTTCAAAAGAGAAGTAACTTGTTCTGGCATATAAGGCAAAAGAGAATCAGGTTCCGGATACGCATTAGAAGCATCATGTATGGCTTCATAAATTTGTTTGTAGACAGAACACAAAAGCTCGACAGTTCTCGAACGAAGATTTTGCCTTGGAGCAAAAGAAGAAAATAAATGCTCATAAATGTATATATAGTATATAAATTTACAATAATCTATAATCTGATTACATACCTTAATACTACACTGAGCAGTAAATTACATTGAGGAATTGCCAGACTGTCTGGAGAAGAGAGAAAGGAATCTAATTTTTTCTGAAAATATAATTTATTTATTTAGGAAAAATAGATAAAAAGTTCTGCTAATAATAATTGAAACTTTATTATTAACAACAAACTGAAACCTGTTCAAAAGAAGAAATGAAAAAAATTGATTATTATTAGAACTATGCAAGTTTTATTATAAACTTTTGTGCCATTGCAGCAGCATGATCTTAACTTAATGTTTGAATTTGGATGAGCACCATATAAAAAAGTTGATATATTTAACTTGTTTTAGTAAATATTGTAATCAATGGATAACATTATTGAATGAATTTTGTCAATTTTATATTCAATATATAATTTTTGACAAGACTATGTCTTGTTTATAAAATCGTACTGCCCAATGTTCTTACCAGCATAGAGGTATGAAAGAGTATATGTCGAGAGTTGATATTTGGCACAGAGTATTAGGTACCCAAATCATTTGCACATAAAAAAATCCAGACTCGTAGGTAGTCAGAGGACCGAGAATTAAGTCAAAATAAAATACAAAATGGCGACCCTCTTCTACAAACAGGCAAAACAGCCACCTCACCCCACCAAAGTCAGGTAGGGGAGAGTACCACCCACAGTTATTCTAAGAAGCAAACTNTCAAAATAATAATAATAATCCTGTGTAAAATATGAAATATTGAAAATTACCTTTGAATTACAAGTAGAAATTTTCACAAATAGAATAAAGTTATTAGTTTGTTCAAAACTTCTTACAACAATAAATACCTTTGAAGTGAGTTGAAAATTTAAAGAAAAAACTGAACTTTTATCAAACTTCTAACTTAGAAGATATTTTTTCGTTTTTTAAATAAAATATAATACAAAATATTGTAAATTTTTATAAGATTTTAAAAAGCCAAGATGGTCAATACTTCGATTACTCAATCTGGTTCTGATTTTAGTAATGAAAAATTCTGCTACCGAGAATGCCCTTTCCGATTCAATTGATGCGGGTGGAATCGTCTTTAATGCATTTTAAGAGAAGACAGATCATATGTTTTTTCACTTGTAGTCTCGACTACAGTATTTCTAATTCGTTTTCGAGATGCGTTGCAGTACTTCGTTTGCCATCTAGTATTCTCGATTTGTCTACTTCGGCTGCTTTAATAGCGGCATCGAGCTTATAGCCCGATAATTCGGCAGTTCGTTTGGCTTTAATAATAATCAGGTTTATGAAGAAAAACTTCATACTTGCATACTTCGTACTCGTTTGTATCCTTGTACAATCTGGCATAATGCAGTTATTCAAGCTACTGGGCATGGTTAAAAATTAAGACAGCATCGGCGCAATTATTCGAGATATTACAGGTTCTGACAAGTAAAGAAATTTCAGTCTTGCCACAAATAGGCTACATACTGATCATTGACAATCTGTGACATGCTATAACGAGCAAAAATTAAAAAACTAATAAGCGGGCTTAAAATTAATAAATACAAATGTATTCTGGCAGATTATGAATTAATTATACTTTCTATTTGCAAAATTTCCTGAACATTAACACAAAATAAGAAAAAAGTGAACTTTAAGAAATTTGCAGGATTTCCAGAGTTAAAAAACAGCCGAGATCCCGTTAGAGAAACCTTAGTTGGCACCCAGTCTGGTGATGACTTATCATAAAATGAGGACGGTTTTCCTTTGGGGTAAAATCCTTTTTCAATAATATATTATTAAAAAGATCATTATGGTATGTTATATATAATAATGAATAAAAATTTGTCATGAACAACTTGAAGGTTACTATGTAATGATTGTTACTAATGTTACTTTTTACAATGATTTTTTACATCTTAAAAAAAATGTTAATGTTGTTCACCAAAATAACCTAACTTAGTTATTTGTAAATGAACAATGGAAATTATTGGTTTATATCTTAAAAATACACACACTTTTATTTATGTAAATTAGAGTGGAAGGACATTTGATTCAAAATTCATTTCTAATTCTTCATCTGCTAAGCGATTATCTTTGCTTAACGCTTTAATAATAACTTTACTGTATATTTATTACAAGCAGAGACTACGAAAACAAACTGAAAGGTGGAAAATAAAGGTAGAATACAATCATTATCTATTCAAACTTAAAATCTGAGATGTTTCATCATTTAAAGTTAAAATCATTTAACTTTATTTTGTAGGTATTAACAAAGCGATTTATGCAACCGGTTTGTATCACTTTAGATAAACTTTTGCAAGAGTATCATAATCATTTATTGATAACTAGTAATCAAATGTTATTGCTTACCTGAAATGTTTCTGACAAACTCTTGTATTGATATTCACTTAACCGGAAAAATTTCAATACGGATAAATTCTCCAGAGCCATGCAAATTGCCTTCGTGAAATCGTCTCAGTTTGGGGTCTTTGATGACAAATAATTTGCCGGAAATTTTAAAAAATGACGTTTCTTTGTTCTTCAGTAAACTAGCATTACACCAATTACACAATTCACCAAAGTGATATTCGCGACGAATAAACAACGCGAGAACTCCAACTAAAGTGCGCGTAAACACAAATAAAATGTAAACAAACCACAAAGATAGCGCCGGACACATACTCCTGACGTCAGTCGTGATGTCGACTTGAAACTTCTCTATACTAACCGCTGAGCCATCTTTGTACTATCAAGTATTAGTTGTTTCGTCCAACTGCAATGCAAATTTTGGGCTTTTCTTTCTAGTAATAAGTTGCTAATTTCAGTTATTCTATTGGCGATAGTATTGTTTGATAAAGGAATTTTTTGAATGACAACACTGTATTTGCTTCTGTGAAGTATTTCTGCCATTTTAATAGCAGCAAGTAATACAAAATCTTCCTCAATAGTGTATGGCTTTCTATTTTCAGCAATCAGAACTTCTAATAAATAATTTTCGTTGACAGTCATAAATTTCTCAAAATATTGTTTTTGGTTATTTGAATATCTTAACAGTCGTTCAAAATATCCCTTTGGTTTATTGACATAAGAGGGATGCTTGGATTTAATATGCCTTTTAATTTTGATGGTTTCATATTCTTCACAGCCAAAACGTTATCACAAATTAAACAGAAAGGTTGTTCCTTACCATGGTAATTATTAAAAGTAAAGCCAAATTGTAGAAATGTCTCATTTTAAGTGCCTCTTTCTGACTTCTGGTCCTGCTTGAACAGACTTTGTAGTATTGCCATCTACGTCATTACCTTTGTTTTGGCCCACCAGTGGCTAAGCGATCCGTTCCCTGAACACTAGGGGCCGATTGCAGAGACAACGTTTAGAGGCCGACGGCGGGTTTACAGATCGGGTAGACCGCTGTTCAGAAAAATTTCAGAAAAAGTGTAGACAGCGATTAGAAAAGTTATTTGACCTACTTTCTAGACTCCCTCGATAGCAGGTTTAGAGGGCTTTTCAATTCGAGTGGTAGCTTTGTTCATAGAAAAGTTTAGATAAAAACAGATATCTTTCCTTTGATAAATGTTGTAAACGGTACGAATCGACAAAATTATTCATTAATTAATTGCTTGGAGCAAAAACAACAAAATTAAATACTTTAAATTTGTTTTAAATGTTCCGATTTCGATATTCAAATGGGTGAAGCTTAAAACTTCAGTTAATTTAAATCAGATGCATTTATTTACAATTGGAGTATCGTGTCGGTTATAAAACGTTAATGCATTTCGGAGTCATTGTATTGTCAAACAAACGAGACAATTTTAATAGTTACAGAAATCTGTTTATAGATATAAAAAATGTAATATTAATAATAAAATATTTAAAATTATTCATTTCGATAGTAATAAGATGTCGAAATCCTTAAAAATCTATTCCGAAGACGAATTTCGAATTCGGTATAAATTTTCTAAATATGGATTTGTTCATATTTTAAACCATATTGGCGACGAAATTAAATATCGAAATGGAACAGGATTTCATTTTAATTAATTGCCGAACAATTGTTTTTAAGATTTTATTTCTGGAAGCTTTCCGAATATAGCTGGCGACTATTTCTGACGTCACAAACAAATAACCCGATAGGCCGAACGACTCCTAAAACAGGGAAGTAATAGCGAAGTAAGTAAGAGCCAATGTTTTGCCGAAGTTCGTTTAGAGAATGGTCAGAAATAGACGATCGTCGTCTTTGAAACGCATTTTAAACCGCGGTTCAGCCAGCCAACGTCTGTAGGCCGTTCTGTTGATAAACGTCGTTTAACGTAAACGCTGTCTCTGCAATCGGCCCTGGGAGTTCGGTCGTGGGTTTGCGCCTTGCCAGGCCGTGCTAGCCACGTGGAGTTTTCCGGGTTTTCTTCCATCTATAAGACCTAAATAGGAGCCAATTACTCTTAAAAATACCTCCTGGAAAGCATTATTCTTCCGCGTATAAAACAAAAAAATGTATACAATTTCTAACTACATCGCATAATATGTCCATCGCAAAAACTTATCACGGGGTGTCATAGCCAAGTATCTCTAGCCCAACATGAAAGACAAGACAAAGGCGCCTGTTATCTATGCGACTCTTTATTTGAATAAAATATAAAAATGTTTTATATATATTTATTTTTTTACCTCTGTCAACTATATGAAATTATCCTAAAACATACCAACAGGATCTGATGGGTTGGGTTAGGTTATGAACTTACTCGCGATCAGCATTGATAGAGGCGGCTAATAGTCCAAAACCGGCCCTGATCGGATAATAAACCGAAAGGATGATTGAAAAAGACAGATGACAAATCGAAATCGTATGACACGTTACGTGCCAGATGATTTCTCCTTGCGTGCCATCGGTTCGCCACCCTGACGTAGAAAGTATAGTGAGTTGACCATCTGCCTCTCTGTAATCTGTGCTCACTGGTGATATAAGTATTGAATTTAGAAACGTACGGTATGTAATAAGTTTTAAAAAGCCCACCAGGTGACCTTGAACGGAACAGACAAATGACGCCCGACATACATCGCGGTAAAAACATCATTCTCGTGCATCTTCCTTTTTTAATGTGAAAATAGTATATAGCCCGTGTTCATCTGAAAAGAATAAGTTTTCCAATAGCGAAAGAATTTTAAAAATCGGTTCGGTAGTTTCCGAGATTACCTCCAGCAAACAAACAACCATTCTCCCTTTATATATCAGTTAGTATAAATTAAATTTGCAAAGTTAATTTGAAAACCGAGCAATATAATTTGACATTTTAATTTAGAAATCAATTATCCGTTAAACAACATAGGTTTCATCCATAAATCACGTGTTTCGGTTTAGGGGAGGGAGGGGTAATGAGAAAAAAACCACGTAGGGAGAGGGATGGGTAAACAACCACGTGGTTATATCTTATTTTAATAAAATTTTGGAAAATTACAATAAAAGATCGATAAATACGATACAGAATTAAGTTTTCTGATTGTTTGTTGTAAGAAAAAATGATACTAGAAATAATAAAAGATTGTTGTTAGCTTTATTTTGTGATTAATGGTTTAAATTATTATTAATAAATTTTATTTATTAATATTTTTCTATCGGTGGTATCATTATAATTTAAAAATATATATATAAACAAACATTTTATTTAAAAATATAAGAATAGACTTACTAGCGGATCCGCCCATGACCGTCTTCATCGGACGCCCGGAGTTTTGCGTGTTTACCATGTATAATAGTTCTTTAAATAACTAAATAATATATAAAGTTAATAAGGAATAATCAGTGGTAAGACAATTTAAAATAATGCAAAACAAATCAACAATAATAAACATCTTTAATAGGATAATAGCTACAGCCGGATGGTCGAGGAAGTTAAGGCGTCAGCTGCCTCTCTGGAGGATCCACGATCGAATCTTGTCGGAGAACCCCGGAAATTTTTTCATGGGCTATATTTCTCGGATATGCCGGGCCCCACTTCTCACCACCCAGCTTGGCCGAACCCACAATGGGCATGAGAAAATGCTGCCTTAGTGCCCATAGAACGGATAGTTAAAAAATTACTTGTAGTATTAATCGCATTATTTTAAATGTAAATTCAGCCAGATCTATTAATTAATACCTACAATGGGGCGGCCGAATGATAAAGGACAGGGACCGAAAAGTTCCTGGAGTTTTTCGACCCGAGCGGTAGGTGCTACCTTTTACAGTAAGTCATTCGACCGTCCAGATAATTAAAAAAATATTGTAGAACTTCGATCTGTAAATAATTTTATTTATTTATAAAATATACGGTAAAATAAAAATGAAATTCAGAATCAACGTCGGCATCATCGACATTTTCATCTTTATTTTAAATGATTCCGAATTTACTGTGGTAGACACGTGTATAAAAACACAATCATATTGAAACAATTTGAAAATAGAATTTCTTTTTATGAAATAAATAAATATATTTTGGACTATTTAATTTTGTTATACAAATAAATATTATTAATTATTAATATATTGGATGTATACAGTTTTATAAATATATACAATCGGATAAGATGCTATTTCGTGCTATTTTCCATTCTAAGTTCTTTGCCCGATTATACTACGTTGAAAAATTTTGATTTATCATTCAGATTGAACCTATATACAAGAGGAGAATTAAAAACTCCCCCTCACCACAACCTTCCTGCTTCTAAAACCTTTAGTGTCATCTGGTCCTTTCGGTAATCTCAATATGTAATTTGAAATTTTATGTTCAGAAATCAGTTCCAACCTGTTCTCCCTTCTGTTCTGATTGACTACAGTTGGAAGAGTGTATCTTCGACTAAAGTTGGTGATTAATACGGGTGAGTTACATCTGCTATCACAGTCAGAACCTCTCCTAGGAGAGGTAGATAGATAACCGGAAGAAACACTAGAAGAGCGATATCCGGAATGAATTTCGTTCCGGCTAATTATAATGTCTTTGGGTTTCGATTTTGGCTTCTTCCTCTTGTTTTTGCACGTTTCAGATTCTGGCAAAGGTAACACTCGAACATCCTTAACTTGCAAAGATTTCTGCGCGGAAAGTTCATTTTCGAATTCGATTAATGCGCAAACGTTTTTTAATAAATTCGGATGTTTGCAGCTCAATTTCCTGACATTTTCTGGGACGTTACCACCCGGTCTCAATATCTGTAATAGTGCAATTTCGCCGCAAGACGAAAAAAGACCACCAACCTTTTCTACTGTAGCTTTGTGGAAAGGCAGATCGCATGCCAGAACACTTTTCGAACAAACCGGTTGTTCCAATTCGGGAAGTGGCTCCTTTCTACGAACTCGAGTGCCTTCTGCGTTCACTTCCAACATTTCCGAAGTATTCAAACTGTAAGCCACCACTTGCCAGTTTCTTGTTAAAGTCTTGACTTTTCTGTAAGAAGTCATCAGCTTTATGCTCACGTATCCTTCCTTGTTCCTTTTAAGATGTTTAAGAAGAAATTTATCTTTTAGAACGTTTTCGTTCGAAAAATAGAACTCGATTAAATCGACTATTTTTTTCGTTAAATCGCCGTCCGGGACGATAAATTCGTTGATATTTTCCCTATCGCTATCGGAGGTGGTAACAAGTATTTCTTCCGACATCTTTACAAAAATACTGAAATCGATACACGCGCACACCTATTTATGATCCAGAATCAATCATATACATCGGCTTCTCATTGGTCGTTTTCTCTCGATTCGTCCTCTAAGTTCAAGTATTATTCTATGACGCTATAATGGTCTTATTTATTTACACCAATTAGAACGAGTATACGGATGGGATCGTTCATCAATGATATGTGATGTCACAGATCAGGCGATGATCTTTTAACAATCACACGAGACTTATCTCTCGATAGATAAATTCTTATTTATAAATTTCTGCGAAAATAAACTATTTTTTATAACAGTAATTGGTATATTTTTACAAATTTAAATAAGGTCAAGTTGTTTTCGGTTTATACTTAGATACAAATCATCATCAACAACAAATCTAACTAAAAACTCTTCTTCAATAAAATTACTTCATATTAAATTAAGTAAAAGAACATATTTTGCAATTAAATAATCCTGTATTTGTTTAAGTTTCTCGTATTTAACTATTACTACGATTTTCAATAAATATCTTGAAATGTTTTCCATTAATGCATTGCCACGTCCATTTTTTTCCTATATTCCTATCAATGGCCGTTGTTCATTGTATTAACAAACTTCAAAGTTTCTCTTCGAATATTCTCTATACGAATGCATATATTAAATGAAGCTTTTTCTGAGTTAAATTAATATGTGCATTTCAATTTCCCCGATAGAATTATAAATAAATGTTTACTGATAATCTAGAATACAACTACAATAAATAATCGATGAGAAAGTACTTAATTTGGAATATATATTTTAGGTTATCATTGAAGCTTTTTAGGCATTTTTTATGGAGTATGTCTTCATGTATTGGTATATATCAATAAATATTTTCGATATAACTTAACGATTATTTAAAGAAAGTTAACACAATCCTTACAACTTTAATGTGTTTTTCTATTGTGAAATATTGGTTATTCATCCAGCGATAGGCTGTACACAGTCGATAATGAGTCATCAAAATAAGTCGGAATTTTTAGTATTCCGTAACCACTTACTTTTTAAATTATTATTAAATATACGATAAAACTTAAAACGATTTTAAATTAAAGAAAAATTTATACTAATTATATGTCGATACAACTACTTCAATGAATTGATTTCTCATTAAAATGTCGAACGATGCCGTTAATTTCAATTGATTTCTTCATTGTAAAAAATTCCGGTATATACATAATCCAACCGCTAATAACGGCTACCTCTAAACAGCGACCATTTTTTTTTCTCTGAACAAAAATGCATACAAAATAACGATTTGTTTTTATGTATCTTGTTCAGTAGTTTGACTACATATATTAAAATTTCGATGTAATTAAAGGCTTAATTTTTGTACGTTTTCAGACATTTCCTGAGCAATTTATTATATACATTTTGCAGCAATACATTTAATGATACAGCAGTTTTCTTACTTGCATAATTACATCAATATACTTATAAAATCTTTTTAATTATATATTTTACTTCTAGAGCTTTATTTTAAACATCATTACCAAGTATATAACTCATTTGAAACTTTTAAAATTTTATTTATTATTTCACTGTTATCTTCACTTTCATTAGCGTTTTTTATCATTCGTTAATGACACGTGAAATTAAAAACAAGTTATACAAATATCAATAATAGCTTTGAAATGATATCCAAAATCATATCACTATTAGATAACCTGATAAAAACAAACTTGAAAGAATTCATCTTTGCGTCATCGTGTCGCCGAGATACCCTACAAATTTTAATACGGTTATCGATAATCGTCAAGTCTTTCCCATCAAAATTTCTAAAGAGAAAAAAAAAAATATTATGTAAAAACCACGTGCCAAAATCTTGTGTACCTTGTACAGGTGTGATAAAATGGATGATGATTAGTCAGCAATTATAGAAACGTTTGATGTTAAGTCACGTCAGATAGTGATGTAAAATATTCATAGTTGAGAATCTGCTGAGTTGTTACACTCGAACAGGATACTGATTTTCTTTTCTTTTTTTTTTTAATTACTAAACACAACTTATTTTTATGTTTTCTTAAAATTTGCTTATTCCTTTGAAATCAATGTTACTTATAAGAGTAAATGTTTACTAAAGATAAAAATTTCTGATGAAAATAGAAAAAAAAACTTTAGGAATATCTGTAAAAAAAAATATATTAAATAAAAATTTATTATTATTTATATAAAATTTTTTACCCTAGAATGTTGTATTTAGAAAGAAGATTCTAATAAAATTTAACAGTTAATGATTTGGTAAAAAGAAAAATTTTTAAGTTATTTCACATAAACTTAGTGAATATATTATATCAAATATTTTTAATGAAAAATTTCAATAAAAATAACAAAATTTAAGCTTTCTGTAGGACTTTTGCTTATACATTGTTATTCTGCGAGTTTATTGGAAAACATTGATTTTATATTAATCAATATAAAGTCTGTTTTTGCTTATATTCTGCTGCAAACTAAATTTTATTGTAGGATTTGAATTTTGATAAATTTATTGTATCCTGTGGTCATGAAACGATTAACAATTACATTTCTATTTGCTTGTTATAGAGATCTTTTGAGAGATGTTAGTCAATAATCTTATAAATGATTGGATTGGATTGGTGAAATAAGGCTCCAGTGTTCAGTAGTGTTATCTACTTAGTCACAAGTGAACTAAAAATAATTTCACTCTCATAAGTTGCAAAATTATATATATATAAATGTGTTAAGAAAAAAATATATTAAATAAAACAGACATTTTGTAAATTATTTTTTTTTTTACTATTTCAAAGGTTTCATGAATAAAAAGTTTATAAAAAATTATTATAGAAATTATATAGTGCATAATAGGTCTATAATCTTTAAACAATGTTTAAGGATAAATTTTAACCTTCAAACAAACTAAATATCAATAATTTAGAAAAATTAGAATAATAAATTTTTAGACTTGTTTTCTATTACCAAAATTATAATTCAGAATTTAAACTTAATATATATATTTTATTCCCCACTAAAATCTTTCTGCCTTATAGGAACTAAAAGGGCCACTATTTTATAATAAAGATAAACTTTAGGTCTACTTTAGTAGACCTAAAGTTGATCTTTAGGTCTACTAATCACTCAGAAAATTAAGATTCTAATCTGGATTTGAATCCAAGTGCCTCAGAGTAGCAAGATAAAACTTTAGTCACTTTAATCATCTATACTCATAATTATGTAAGTATATTTCTATGAAATTTATTTTCTGGAAACAAATTTATAGAATGTTAGGTGGGTAGAATGTTAAAAATCAGAATAAAAGAGCATATACGAGTTATGAAGTATAATTACACTAATGCAGCAGTTGCCACACACTGCAATCACACCAGTGGCGGGATTTGCAGTGTGTGGAATTTTGATGCTTGAAAGCATCAAAATTCTTAAAAAAGAACAAAATATTATTAAAAGAAAACTTTTTGAACATATTGAAATTATTAAAAAACGAAATTAATAAAATAAATTTAAACACTGGCATTGTCATCAGTGAGATCTGGCAACTGTTACTACCAAAATAAAAAGAGTCCATTTGAAAATGTTCTTTCTCCTCCTTCCACTTCCTTTTTTAATTCACTGTATGATATAATGATCAGACTTCCTGATAATCATACAGTGAAACCCTTTACACCTTTTTATGCAACCCTTTACACCTTTACACAAGTTTTTATGTTTTTACTCTTTTTACTGGTGAATTTTTTTCTACATTTTAACCTAAAATTTTTATTTTTACAGGTATACCCTCATTATTTTTANTGAAAATATAATTTATTTATTTAGGAAAAATAGAAAGAACAAAATATTATTAAAAGAAAACTTTTTGAACATATTGAAATTATTAAAAAACGAAATTAATAAAATAAATTTAAACACTGGCATTGTCATCAGTGAGATCTGGCAACTGTTACTACCAAAATAAAAAGAGTCCATTTGAAAATGTTCTTTCTCCTCCTTCCACTTCCTTTTTTAATTCACTGTATGATATAATGATCAGACTTCCTGATAATCATACAGTGAAACCCTTTACACCTTTTTATGCAACCCTTTACACCTTTACACAAGTTTTTATGTTTTTACTCTTTTTACTGGTGAATTTTTTTCTACATTTTAACCTAAAATTTTTATTTTTACAGGTATACCCTCATTATTTTTATCAATATTCTATTTTATTTAGTGCCTTTTTTGGAGAAAAAAAGGTGGTGGAATGCTCATCTCATTACTAAAAATATATTACATACATCGTACACAAGATTCGGCACACAAACAGGACAAGGACCATCTTAATAATTTTGTTGCCTATCTTCTATGCTCAACAGAGCAATTCAACACGGACCAAACATCAAATTTTCAAAAATTTTCTTAAAACTTTTAAAATACATCGAAAAATTTTTGTAAAAATAAAAATTTTTGGTTAAAATGTAGAAAAAAATTGACCAGTAAAGAGAGTAAAAACCAGGGCTGTGGAGTCGCATAAAAATCTACCGACTCCAACTCTGACTCAGACTTTTCCTTACCATCTGACTCCGACTCCGTTTCATATACATAACACAAGTTGGTAAGTAAAAAGGGAGTCAGAGTCGGTGGATTTTTTGACGACTCCGATTCCGACTAAAACACCAAAACTCCACGACTCCGACTCCACAGCCCTGGTAAAAACATAAAAACTTGTTAAAAACAAGGTGTAAAGGGTTTCACTGTATGATTATCAGGAAGTCTGATCATTATATCATACAGTGAATTAAAAAAGGAAGGGGTAGGAGGAGAAAGATAATTTTTCTAAATCCTCTACAGAGGATTTAGAAAAATTATCCAAAAAGCAAAATGAATACTATCGTAAATTTCTAGAAAAATTAGCTGAGGTGGTGGAATGCCATTCCATTGCATTCTATGATAAAAAAAAGCTCTGATTATATTTATTTATTTTTTTAAAATTCATTTCAGTTTTACTTGTTCTACCCCATGTTTTTAATAATTAGTTATTCCAGTAGTCACTATTATATTATATTTTTTAGATAATTTTTGTAATTTTTGAGTTTTATGCATATGTTAATTATTAAATATACTCTGTAATTTCTTATATAGTTTTACCATTATACTCTACATAATAAAGACTGAAGAGGGGCATAAGGCCTGAAATGCATATTCTTTGTAAAGTATAGAAAATAGAAATCCACTTTTTCCATCAAGAGAAGTGTTCCTGTGTAATAAGTTCTCAATAGCAATTTTATGCTAGTGGAACCTAGCATAAAATTGCTAGGTTCCTAAGTTCTTAAATTGCTAGTTTCCAAGGAACATACAAAAAATTTATAGAACTTTAAAAACTCTCAAATTACAGCTATAATGCAAGTGAATAGAATAAATTTTGATTATTACTTATAAATACTTCCAATATTTTATATGCAAAAATACTACTTGACATTTTACTGCACAGAAAACACTACTACTTTTAATTGTAAAAATAAAAATAACAACTTATATATATATATATAAAATATATATGATTAGTGGTAATTTAGTAATTTAGCTTTAAAGATTTTTTTTTAACAGTTCAAAAGGAATTTAGCCATTATATTAAATTAAATTAATGTTTTATTTTTCATTTTTCATTTTAAAAATATATTACAAAATATTTATAAAATTAAATTAAGGAATGTTTTGTCATATAAAATTCAAAATCATTTCAAAAGAGAAGTAACTTGTTCTGGCATATAAGGCAAAAGAGAATCAGGTTCCGGATACGCATTAGAAGCATCATGTATGGCTTCATAAATTTGTTTGTAGACAGAACACAAAAGCTCGACAGTTCTCGAACGAAGATTTTGCCTTGGAGCAAAAGAAGAAAATAAATGCTCATAAATGTATATATAGTATATAAATTTACAATAATCTATAATCTGATTACATACCTTAATACTACACTGAGCAGTAAATTACATTGAGGAATTGCCAGACTGTCTGGAGAAGAGAGAAAGGAATCTAATTTTTTCTGAAAATATAATTTATTTATTTAGGAAAAATAGATAAAAAGTTCTGCTAATAATAATTGAAACTTTATTATTAACAACAAACTGAAACCTGTTCAAAAGAAGAAATGAAAAAAATTGATTATTATTAGAACTATGCAAGTTTTATTATAAACTTTTGTGCCATTGCAGCAGCATGATCTTAACTTAATGTTTGAATTTGGATGAGCACCATATAAAAAAGTTGATATATTTAACTTGTTTTAGTAAATATTGTAATCAATGGATAACATTATTGAATGAATTTTGTCAATTTTATATTCAATATATAATTTTTGACAAGACTATGTCTTGTTTATAAAATCGTACTGCCCAATGTTCTTACCAGCATAGAGGTATGAAAGAGTATATGTCGAGAGTTGATATTTGGCACAGAGTATTAGGTACCCAAATCATTTGCACATAAAAAAATCCAGACTCGTAGGTAGTCAGAGGACCGAGAATTAAGTCAAAATAAAATACAAAATGGCGACCCTCTTCTACAAACAGGCAAAACAGCCATCTCACCCCACCAAAGTCAGGTAGGGGAGAGTACCACCCACAGTTATTCTAAGAAGCAAACTTTGACCTTAGGACTGAACATGTAGTTTCTTCTATGTTAAATAAAATTTATAATCTAATTTTGTAAATTTGGGAGTGCTTCAAATATGACGTTAAAACGGTTTTATGTCGTTACAAGTGGGTTTTTTTTAACATTATCTAGTATAGTAAAATCGTAGGATCAATAAAAATTTGATGTTATATTAGGGTTGTCATTACATTTGATGACATTATAATTGGGTTAAACTGTATATTGTTTGTGCAAAATAAAAAAATAATTTCAGACGATACAATAGCCACGATTATTTTTTTAAAAAACGGGAACTTTTCGTTATGCATTGACAAAAATTCAACCTGGGCCGACACGCAACAAAGAGAAATTTTGAAATTAGATAGGCTAATTGTGGTCGTGGCTGGTGAAGTTTGAATGATCGCACCCAAAAGCAGCAATATCAAAGAAGATAGGAGAATGAGAATGAGACCTGCCATGAGTATCAAAGTGATTCCGTCTCCGAGACATAGTCGTGTCCCAAATACAGTTTTGACGTTTTACTTGTTTAGTTTTGATTCACTTACATTCAAGAAACTCAATTACTTCTGATGATATGGCTCAGCTTAAAATTAGCTACAGTACGTTGCAAAAATACAATAATTGATTTTGCTCATTGTTAATTTTCTGTAAAGAAGTCATCAGTTTTATTTAAAGGCAATAAAGAAAGTTAAAATAACACAATTAAGAGATTGTTAAGGAAAATTTGAAAGTTACTGCCATATAAACATGCATTTCATCAATAAAAAGTATTTGCATAGAAATGACAATGTACAAACTTTGGATATATTATATTATTTTTAATAACATAAATAATTCTAATTACTAAAAGGAAACATAAAAACAAAGTACTTACATTAGCAGACTGAATAGCCAAAGCATCACATCCCAGAATTGCTGAAAGTGGACCTTGTTTTGGTTGATATGTTTGCAGAGTTTTATAAACTGTCCCTAAACCCAGATGACCTACAATCTGAGAAGTCTGTTCACTGACTAATGTATCAAGATGTGCTTCCATCTAAATAGAGCAAATTAAATACTGGTAAGCATTTTAAAAAATATTCTATATAATATAATAAATTATTTTTATATATAATTACTTGTGCCTGTAGCATTTCTAATTGTTGATCACTGAATTCATACACAGTTAATGAGGAATGCATTAAATGAAGACAATTTGTTAAATAAACAGCCATATCAACAGGTGCAAGCTTAGATGCTGACATATGACACATTTGTAGTAGTGGTTCTATCATTGTTGTCAAAATCTGTTAAACAATGTCTAATTATTTTTTCATAAGTTTACAGATATAATTATGAATGCAATTTCATTACCTGAGGCACATCTTTCTGTCTATCATCAATAGATATGAGACTACCATCTTGACAAGATAATATTTCTTTTAGTAATGCTAAAGATTGTGTAAGAGATTCTGGAGGCCCTAAATCAGCTGGAGGAAGTTCAATTTGCTCTAAAAGTTGGCTACAATGACATGTCATACTATTATAAAACATTTTTCTACTTAAATCTTGCAGTTCTTTCAATGTATTTAATAACTGAGACTCTACAGTGACAACTTGGCTGAAAAATAAAATTTTCAATTATTACACAAATTAAAATAATATTCAAAAATAAATGAATTTAAAAAATTTTATCTATATGTATAGAAAAAATCATCTCATACAATTTAAAGCTATCAAAATAAAATATTTTCATTTCAATGATCAACTCAAATTTAATAAAAACATTAAAATTGCATACTTAATTGTTTGGTGATAGAATTTTAACAAACTGCTCAAACAAAAGAGAGTGACTGCTCCAGGTTCTGATACTGTTACTTGTTCTACACGAACTTTTAATGGTCGACATAATCCTTCTGTTATGTGAGATAAAGCCTGTTGTATGTCTTCTTCCAAACCTATATTTACATAACTTTTTTCATTAAAATTAAAACTGAATAAGCTTTATTATAATAAATAACACTGACTATAAAGGTAAAGATGTAGAAGAGAGCTTAGGGTTAAAATTAAAACTGGAGCATTCATTGGGGAAAATTTGGCAAGTGGATAGAAAAGAAAGGGGAGGCATATAGAACAAGTGTATATAAGAATTACACAAGATTAATGTATATACACCTTACAATTCTAAAGACTCATATAGATAAAAATAATAGCTTTAATAGCTTGATAACAAAAGCAATTAAACCATTTTTGGATTTTTCAATCCAAAAATGGTTTAATTGCTTTTGTTATCAAGCTATCAAAGCTATTGTTTTATTATACTATTATAGCTATTATCAATCAATCAATCAATCAACATTTATTTGCTATGGCTTTCGCCTTTACAAAGGGGGTTACAAAATCGTGCAACATTAACAGATACAAACATAATTATACATAATTTCAAAAATATTAAAACTTAGTTAATAATGTTATGTTAATATGTTTAATAAATAACAGAAAAATTTATAAACTTTAAATAACATGTCAGAGCTTAAATTATCATCGTATAAACAAAACATATCAAAATTAGTCGTTAATAATGTATCCCTTAAATGTTCAGTAATTTCACAAGATACAAATAAATGGTTCTTAATATTTTCACAGAGTCGATTACATAAAGGGCAGTTAGAATGGGCGGAAATATTCATTCTACGCCTATTTAATATAATAGTATAGTCATTAAGTCGCAATTGAATTATCAAGGATTTAATATTATAACTTAAATTTGATAATAAATAATATCGAGGTGTCCATGGAGCTATTAAGGAAGTCTCAAAAAACCTACTCTTTTGTTCAATATATTGAATGTCTTGAGCCCAGTATTTATCTTTTAATGACTGAAATATTTCAGCCATAAAAAGGTTTTTATTTGAGACCTGAATATAATAGTCAGTAGAATAACCTAATTCAGACAATAAATTTTCAACTGAGGAGGACCAAGTTACAAACGAAGAATTTCCGACTGTTAATTTCAATTTGTTATAAATCAACTTTCTAGGGTCGCAATCTGGTAACTCCAAAATTTTACTCCAGTATCTAAAAATACTCATTGTNAAAAAAAATTAAAAATGTAATGAGGTATTATATAGATATAGAGAATATAACATAAGAAAAAATAGAATCTTAATGAAATGAATATTTCATTAAGATTCTACTCATTTCAATTAAGATAGTCATTTCTCATATTTTTTTAATATTAATTATAGAATAATTATGATTATTTTTGTTAAAAAAATCATTTTTATTCTCTGAGTAATTGTACTGTATTTTTAATTTTAGTAACAGACAGCTCCAGGTTCTGATACTGTTACTTGTTCTGAATAATTTCTGTTACTTGTTCTGAATCATTGATAACTTGTTCTGAATAATTACATTAGTAAGTAATTAAAGTAATTAGTGTAAGTATTCTAAAAGTAATTAACTACTTTTAGAACACTTACATTAATTAAAAACTGAATATCTATTTTTAAATAAAAATTTTTAGATAACATTATATAGAGTTAGTAAATAGTGTAACACTGTTTTTATTTCAGAATATGTATAAGTAAATAAATATATTATAATACTGAATAAACAATAAACTATTAATTTAAAACTATTTTAATTATAATGAACAATTTTATTTATTCATTATTGAATGCTGAATAACTGAAAAAAATGCATATGATGTTTTTAATTATGAAACAGTTGTAAAGATAGCATAAAAAAGAAAAGCATGAATTTCTGGCATTGACTAAATTTTATTTAAATTAAAAAATTTAAACACAAAAATTCAGTATTGAAATTTAAGAACAAGAACAAATTTGCTATAACAAAAATAAAACATCCACATAATCTACTGTATATCCTGCACCATTGCTCCATAGAGTTGACTTTTGTAATTACAATTTAAAATTGGTATATAACCTGTCTCCCATTCAAACTGTCTTTTAAATATAGATAACTGTGTTATATGCAAAAAATAATAATAATAATAATGATGATATCTAAAATTAATTTTTAAAAAGTATAAATAGTAAAAATTTGATTACTTTCTTTCACACATTTTCTTAAAACTGCTTCTATCATTTCTTTTTCAGAAGCAATAGTTTGATGTAACCATGCTAACATATCTCCAACATATCTTAGTGGATCATGAGAATGCAATTCAATAGGACGTGGCATTCCACCAGGACCTAGATACAAAAATGATGTTAAATATTAACTTTTATTAATAATCTTTCATTTAATGTTTACTCTTACCTCCTCTGGTTAATGCATCAATAAATCCTCGAACAATTGCAGCCCTACGGGCATTTGCATATTCATCAACAGAATATTTAAATAATACAGATCTATCCTGCAAACTCTCCATTGCTTGGCAAAGAAGTGGGTTAATGTCAGGTGATTCCACAATCAAAAGTCGACATTCACCTACAAAAATATTTATTTAAAAATAAATTAATTTTACAGATTAGATACAAGAATAAAAATATAGGAAAAAGATTTAGAAAAATTATATACAGAAACTATTTTTGGAAATTCAATAAAAGAGATAAAGAATGATATCTGAAGCATTTTCATGTGCCACATAATAATGGAGATTTGTTCCAAGAAACATGCCATTAAGTACATCATACAGTGTACTTAGACAAACCTGTATGGCAATGGTTCCCAACCAACTATATTGTTAAGTCATTCTAAGTGTGCTGTGAAATAAATAAATAAATTGAAGTGACAAATTTTAAAATTTATAAATGAAAACAACAAAGTGTACTTCTACATGTTTCAAATATATTTCATAAGTTTTTTCTATGATAGTTTATGGGAACAAAATATTTGAGAGAGCCACATGATCGACCTGTTGACTATTCAAATAAAATTTCATAATAAAGTATGCTGCAACCTTTCCATAATTGTTTGTCCAATAAATTTGAGAAACTATTGTTGTATAGTATAGCTTACTATTCAAATAGACTATATGTAACACAATAGTAAGTATGTATTTATGTATCTAAACATATTTATGCATAGAAAAGGTATAGGTGACTACATATTTTTCAGCTCCATTATAATATTATGAGACCTCCATTGTATATGTGGTTTGTCATTAAAACATTGTTGAATGATACATATCTGCATTAAAATTACTATTACATCATGAAACTTGTAAAAAATTATATAGAAATTTTAAAAAATAATTAAAATAATTTTAATATTAAAAGACAGTGAAATAAAATTATAGGAATAACTCACAGAAAAAAAATTGATTTCTCAACATTAATTCTAAATCTATTATTACTAATTGATAACTTACTAATTACAGGAAATTACAATTTGTTCACTTGAGAAATAATGCTTTTTCTAATATTAACATATTGATTGAAAGTAGAACTTTCAATCAATAAATATGTGTTTTTTATTTATTAAATATTTAGTAAAAATTAGTATAAGAAGTGTTTGAGGTTGTTTTTCTTCCTTACTTTTTTCACTCCTAAGAATTTATTAAAAGTATATTTAATTTATTCTAATGTTTTAAAATTAAAACCATATCAAAAAATTATAAAAATTGTTGGTAATAATTTATAATTTAAAATTAGTAATGTCATATTTCTTAATCATAGTAAAAGATTGAAGATCAAGTACAAGTTGATCACATTTATCACATTAAAATAATTTTTAATATCTATTCTCGGATTAAATTTCTTAAAATAATTAGATATATTCTTTAATTGATATCTCAAAACAAATAATTTAATATGATAGTTTAAGTGATAGACCTTTATAAACTTTTATTCAGTAACTATTCCTATTCCAATTATTAATAATTTTATCCTATTGAGACAAAATATGCAGATACATGCTTTGAAATGATTTTGAAAAAGAAGAAGAAAAGGAAAACTATTTATAATGATTTTTTTAATTGAATGAATATATAATATCAATAAGAACATACTAGAATTACTGTACTTTTCATATATTTAGTAATAAATGTAAAACATATAACAGCTTGGCACTATATATACTGCTCCAATATGCTATGGCACCCTAGATAAATACACAGAGCTAAGGATTGTCAGTATATCTGTGAATTATATCATTAAATGATTTCAGCAAGTAAAAAGTGCTTTATTTATATAAAAATCTATTTAAAAACTATAAATATTTTTCTATAAAAAAAAATATTTTTATATATTAAGCCAATAAAATTTATTTTATAATCAGCACTGTACATCTTTACTAATTACTTTAAGAAATAAAAACAATGTTAAAGATATAATTAATTTCCACAACTTAATTTGTATCTCAGTTTTTAAAATGTTATTTTATTTTGTTATATTATAAATACATTCAACTTGTATTGATTAACTAATATATAAAGCAGATAATTCCCTTTTATAATTTATGATGAAATTTTGATACTGTATTTAGCTAATTTCCATAGATAGAAAAATCAATATGTTATTTTTACATCAATGACAAATGTAATATGGCATAGAAAGTCACTAAATTAGTTATAAATACAAATTTATTTAAATATATTATATGAATTTGACAGGAACATTTAATTATTTTTAGCTTACTTTTAAAAAAAAGTTAAAATATAAAAAGAAATAAGGTTTTCTGATTATTTCTCACAATGAAGTGTGAATAAATGACACAAGGCTTTCTTTACATCTGTTTATTCTCTTTTTTCATTTGCCTAGATGCATTTCGGTTTGTTTGTTTGTTTAGTTATGGCAACACAACACTTGGGTAATCTGCCTAGGGGATGCCTTCTGAGAGGTCTTTTTAAAGGAAACTGGCCCCTATTTAGATGTTATAGACGTGGAGAAAACCCAGAAAACTCCACATGGCCAGCCCACCTGAGCGAAGCGCGAACCCATGACCGAACTCCCAGTGTTCAGGGTACGAAGACCGCTGGCCACTGGTGGGTGACACGTTTCAGGTCTTTGCTCCTCTTCTGTTGGCTTTTTTCATAAAGGTGTTATACATTTAATTTTCCAAAAATGTATAATAGTGTGGCTTTTACCTTTAAACATTTTCAGAAAATTAAATGTATAACACCTTTATGGAAAAAATCGACAGAAGAAGGGCAAAGACCCAAAACACGTCTCAGCAAATAAAAAAAGAGAATTAAACAGATGTAAAGAAAGCCTTGTGTCATTATATTACACTTCATTGTGAAAAATAATCAAATAAGAAGATTGACATGGTTTCATATAAAGAAGAAATAAGTTTTATAAATAAAAAAAATATAAAGTTTTTAGAATACTTTTTAACATTTTTAAGTTAATAAGATTTTAAATCAATACTTTATTACATTCTTCAAACTTTTTCTCATTTATTATTGTCAAGAATATGTTTTAATATCTAAATAGTTTAATTCTTGAATGCAATAAAAAATTAGTTGAAGTGAAGTAATCTGTGGAAGCAATAAGTGTCTAGAGAACAGATTAATGAGAAAAAAAGTCAACAAAAGTCATAAAAGAACATTATAACACATCTCTTATTACTATTCACAAAAATTAGTTATATTATCAGAAATAACAAAAAAATAAAGGATACATACATCTTTTAAAAAACATAAGAGACAAAATCAGTTTAGTATGAAAAACAGATTAAAAAATTCCTTAATTAAAAACATTATAGAAAATTTATACCTAAAAACACTTACACTTCTTGATATTATTTAGATGCATTAATTTTAATAAATTATGTATGTTCATTAATATTGATATAATAATAGTAATATATATATA